CTAGGCCATCTCCAAAGGTGCTTCCTCTTCGTGCCCCCCAGCCACTCACAACCTGGCTCCTGCTGTTCCCATCCACCTCCCTTCGTGCAAAAGAAATTCAGATATTTCACCTTCTCTTGGAAACCAGGGGTGAAGGGGACCTAAAGGGAGCTTTATGCTCAAGAGTGGAGTGTAACTTGGACTCCAGAAATTCTAACATGAAACTCAACCAGGGCCTCTGCAGAAAATATTGAGATGGGCCCCGAACTCATCTTTGAGCTTCTGTGAAAAGGTGTGAGATAAAGGGATAAGAGTAACTTAAGGATTTCCACAGGACTATGAAACTGTAATTTTGATTTAGAGCTGAAAGTCACACAAAGATTATGAAGGACACAGTTCTTTTGGGGTACTTTATTGCATCAAAGGCAGAGGTTTCTCTTGACACAGTAAAACAGATGTTTCTGAGATGGAGCTACGCTTCTGTGGCTGAGCCACCCGCATACCTTGCGACAGGACCAAGAGTGATTTTAATAGATGGTTTGAGTACAACCAAGAGGATGCTGCCCGCGCCGTGTCGCTAGGGGAAGCTGTGGAGAGCAGTGCTAGCTGCTGCCATGGAATTTTGGCCAGCATGACACAGCGCTGCGCTCCTCAGGCACACCCGGTGCTGAAACAGGCTGACACCCGTTCTGTGACCCAGGACAGTGCTGGAGATCAGCACCGAGCAGCTCTCAGGACACAAGGGGCACCGGCGCCCCAGCACCACTGCCAAGAGAAACATAAGGTTCAGGGGCATCGCTTTGATCTGGACAATGAAAGGGTAGTTAGACACTGAAGGCACTACTGCTCTTACTTTATCTGCTGTCTCACACCTAAGAGATGCTAAATCTTGCCCCATACTACCAAATGCTAAAGTAACTAGGCCATTATTTACTCAAGACTACTGTAACAGTATGCAGTCTCCAAAACACTACACCAATGCAGAAGAAAAAGCATTTAAGCATTTAAAAGTTTCAGTTTTCATGAGACAGAAGAAAACAAACAAATGCAAACAAACAGAAAATGCCCACTCTTGGACTATTGAAGGTATTGCAAACTGTTCATTTAATTCTGGTCATTTTATGACTACAAATAATGATGTTGTGATTAAATAACTAATTCTTGACATGTAACATGTATGATATACTAATGATTATCCCAGAGGGCACCTTCAAGAATAAAGGTTAGTTTACTTTGCATTTTAACATATTTACATTCTGTCCCTGCAGAGGAATGGACAGACTTTCAAGAGCTTTAAGCACATTTCATTGTCATCTTAAGACAACTTTTACCTAGCAGACTCCACTTTGGGTTTTTTGTTATGGGTCACTGACTGAAATCCAATGCAGTAACTTCATGCAGCACTAATTGTTAGTGCAGGAAGAAAATACCTAAGCGAGGATTAAAGATTGCTCAGGCATACCAGAATCCCTTCCAACAAGACAAATTACTCCTATTATTTTTTATCAATGAACTGTAATAATCTCGAATTTCCTGCACTAGAAGAAAAATTTGTGGTAATGAACTCTTATCTATTGTACCTTCTAACCTGTAATAATCAGGAGGCCTTTTTGGTGGAGAGGGGGACATTTCTCATGTCAGCTTTGCTCCTATGCACTTATTTAATAAAATACTTTTAAACCTTTCGCTCATATATATTCTTATTATGATTAATGCTCAGGACAGTTCTATTTACTTCAGATACCTGAAAAGACTAATTTTAACTCCTGTGAGAAATATTAAATATATTTAACACAGACTTCAGAAACAGGGATTAAAGAGATCTGAATCGTTCATCCTTTGTACAGTTGATTTTTGCTGAACAGGAGAAGACTTAAATAGGAAGTTGCTATTTTTAGTTTTATAATCTTTTTTTAACAACCTGTTAGCCTTGCTCAGTGCTCACGGCCCACCTGGGTGGAAGCAGTTGGAAGTTTTCATTTTGATCTAGCAGGAGGTGATGCTGGATAAAAGCAAGGGCAATCCTCTCAGTGTGCCATTCAGAAGCAACGCCACACGGGCCTCAAAAGATGAAATCAGCTGAGCAGCAGATCATCTGGAAGCTGCTCCTGTGCTATTTTGTCTGTAGGAGAGCTGCACTGCCCCTCCACTTGGCCTGTGGCTGGCACTGCTGGGCCCAGCACACCCGGCGCCTGCAGAATGGGCTGGTACTGGTCACTGCCTCCTCCAGCAGGGCCCAGGCTCTCAGTTATGCTCCCTGCTGCCAAAGGAAGCAGTACTGAGGCAGGGATGGCCCGAAGGGGAAGCAGCATCCAGCAAGGGCTGCCTCCAAGGAGGTACTGCCCAGGGGCACAACAGTTAGTGACCGTGACGTATGCCAAGGCAAAACTCCCCTTAAGAATTACCGGAGGAGAGGGCCAAGTGCGTGCAGACACTTAAGAGACACAAACTTAAATCCCAGGCATGTTATGTTCTGCACTGAGGAAAGATGAAGAGGCAGGAGCAGGTTAATATCATTAACAGAAGGAAGTTACAGCTTTCTAGAACAGTGATAGTCATTGTGTCTATCCATGATGCTGAACGTTATCCCATTGATCATTACCATGATTGATCTTGATTCACTTGAGGAAGAACACAATAAAAATGAAACAGTTCAAACAGAGGCAGCAAGAACAGCCCCATGGAGAGATTCACGTCGGGTGTTTAGTCTCCTAGACAAAAGCAGCTGAGATCTTTTGCAACAATAATCCCCTTCAACTGACAAATTTACAGTCTTATCCCTGCTTCCCCATCCTCCACATCAATACTGTCCCTGCATATCTCAATTGCATTTCATAAATCCCTACACCTATGTTCGTTGTCCTACATAAATTCTTGCAGAGAAAAACAATGCTTCACCCTCTACTCCGTTGCTTCAGCTATGAAAATGGTTCACAGAGCTTGGTGTGAAACCACTCCTGGCAGAACTCAGAAACAAAATAGAGAAATGATGGAGAGGAGAAGGGTGCTACAATTCTTGGAGAACAGGCCAGAGACAGTTTTTGTAAAGTTTTCCAGTAGTCCAGGGTGCCTTTCACACACGCAGCCAGCGCTCATTCCAGGGACAGCTGATCAGAAGAAATAATGATCAAAGACTTTTAGATGGTGTCACCTGCCATCATTATCACATTCCCTATTCATAATAGCCAAAAGGTGAAATATTTTGTTTGGCTTTCAAAAACAAGAGGAGGAAACCTAGAAGACCAGGCTCCTGAAACAGGAAGCAATGGATAATTATGCTCCCCTTCACCATTCCTGTGTTTATTGTAATAGAGGAAAAAAAATGAAGTCCACTACGTTGACTCTGCTAAGCTTACCTATTTCAGAACTTCAGACTTTGGTAATAAAAACATAGGGTCCCCCCCGCCCCCTCAGGATCACTGACAGTCAGCAAGACTTTTGCTCTGACACACTACAAGTTCTGTGGGTTTGAGGGGAAAGGAAGATGAGAAAAGTCCATTTTCTGCCTGGACTTGTTTAGTTTCAAGGAAAACAGCTGAAATAAAGAAGGTCAGGGAGAGGATATTAGAACGGCTTCCTAATTAGTCAGAGCATGAAGTAGGCCAGTGCTGGCTGTCTTTGAGAATGAATGTGAAGGCAAGCTGTGCATTAACAACCTGCAGATGGTTAAGGTTGAAGCAAAAGGGAATGGCACTAGCTCTTTGAGAAGGATCCATGCTGCCTTTTAAAAGTTACAGAAGGATGACAAGAGTTATTACTAAGCAGTGAGATTCTTTCCATATCAATTACTGAAGACAAGTCCCTACATTGCAAACAGACATCATTACATATAAACTAGCTCTGATTCGAAATCCCCAAATACTTGGGCCCTTTCCTACTTGAAAATGAAAACAGGAGATTGGAAAACAGTATTCAGTTCAGGCAGAAGCTATAAAAAAGCGTAAACCAGCACAGTGAGAGTGACAAATGGCATCGATTTGATCTTTTCAAGGGTAACACAGTATATAGGCATAATATGCAGACGGCTTCCAGCCTAAATTGTTGGGGGTACTTCACTCCAATGGCTGTTTGAAGATTTACACTAGGTGTAGGTATGTCCCACCTTTCTGAAAGCCAGTCTACATCAAAGCAAAAAAATAAGCTCTGTGCCTTTGATTCCCTTAAGGGTATAACACTAATTCAGTGCTTCATTTTTGTTCCTACTCTTTTAGGATTTCCTCTGCTACTCTTACCAAGCACCCTTCACCTCTTAAAAATGAAGTGTAAAAAGAGCTTTTACAAGTTTAAACACAGTAAGATTTGAATCAAAAATCAAAGGAAAAAGTCTTTTTCTGAACAACGCTATGAATATAGAGGCGAACATGAAAGTCAGTTGGCTTGCTTTGTTGCCTTGCTTTGCATGGGCGTATTTATGCTAAGCAAACAAGCAGAAATCTAAGTCGACTGATTTATAAGTAATACAAAAGTATTACTCATCCACAATCTCAATGCAGCCGCTCGCAAACAAGGTTCAAAGAGTATTTGGTGTCAGCATCTGCAAAAACACATTGTTGCAAAAAATAAAAATAAAGAAAGCAAAAAAACCCACACACAAAGCTTCAGATAAAGTGAGACGTATAAATTAGTAGTCAGAACATAAATTCTTACACTGCAACTTCCCACAACATGGAAGAGCCATCTTTTGCTTATAGCCTTCCCCTTGAGCAATCAAAAAGCCAGCCTGCAGCACTCATGATCTTAATGTCAGCTAACAAAAAGCACAAACAGACTATGATCTTAAGTATCTTTCCAAAGCAAATTCTTGTCCTTCTGACAGGCTAGCACCGAAAGGCTAATATTTTCCTCAGTTCTGAAGATTAACTTGCTGCCTTTGAAAACAATTCATCCAGTTTCTAAAGCTGAGCAAACTTTTCACTGTGTTTTATACTAATAGCAAGATAAAATGTTTGACTTTGAGTGCAGCCCACATGCATCAATCACAGACAAACAGGCCGTGTTGTTGGCAGTGTCATTAGCATCATGGCACAGCTTACTAAATACAACTGTGGGTAGCAATGCTAGAACATCATGTCTTCCAGCCCATCCTCCATAAACTTCTTGTAAATTGCCATAAACTTTGCCACAAACGCTTCCAAATGATAAATGGCTTTGCTGCCCAATTGCAGACGGTGTTCATAGAAGGCTGCCATCTGTGCAACTTCTCCTTTTAATTGTCCATCACAATTATTTAGAAGTTCTGACAACAGTCCCTAAAAAGAAGAAAAACAGGACAGTGTTGGAAAAAAGTACTCTTGATAAGAGGATAACATATTTTCTCAAAACAGTTAAGCAAGAATCATCAGCATGAATTTCAGCTTGCTTGAGAATCCAACAGAAAAGAAGTGAAAGGTTTGTCCCAATGCCTGTCCAACAGAACTAGATTTAGGGAACCTTGTCCCTTCTGAAGTTTTTCAGGATAAATCCCCCAGATCAAAACAAAAGTTACCTGTTGTATCCTTAAATGAGGGAAAATAAAACCCTATAACTGAACTAGTACTGCCTTCATAAAGCAAACAAGGTTAATGACCAGATGTTACAACCTCTACTGCGTACAGGCAGGCACATGGCCCTGAAGAGACGCTGAATAAGGGAACTAGGTAGTAACGTTACACGCTTCCCATCCCAGCAGCACTGAGCACAAACAGAAATAGCTTATTAATAAGCAGCACGGAAAGATGTTACTATAGGTACATGTGCATATATATAGACACACAAGATACTTTCAGTCATTACAAAAACAAACTAAAAAAACAACTATAAAAGACTCGCTACTTTAGATCCAAGACAGTGATAAAACCGTGGCGAATCAACTCCCACTGAAACAGTCAGGATTAAGGGAGTAGCGGCACTAAAACACTTCAAATTCATGAAAAGGAAGTGGGTAAAGAACATCCACCTTCATCTTAAAGACAGGCCTTCAAAAAGGGCAAGGCTGAATACACTAGCCCACCACTAGCAAAAAAGTTTAGAGCAAAGTCTAACTAAAGAAACATTCACAAAATAGAAATCAGTCAGTGGAATAAGCAATTTATTATCTTGTAATTATGCGTCATGGCAATCTCCATCCAGGGAGACTGCAAACATTAGCTTTTAATCTTAGCTCTGCTACTGTTTTCCTCAGCTTCCTTTTACCATGCCTAAAATAAAAATGTCCAGTATGTTTACTTCTCCCAAGATGACTTCTGTCCTTAAAGACTTTGCTGTCTAGCTTCTCCTTCACAGAACCTTCCAATATGATATAGCAAATATCAAATATATAAACAAAACATTTATTTTAAAGCCTATGAAGGCTCAGACTATAGTCTGAGAATCCTCAGGGGCATAAAGCCTGTCCTTCCTTGTTTTCAGCTATAATGATGATGATGGACATCGTAGAACAAAATGAAGTTGGCATAGGGTTAAAAATCTATAACTCATGAAAGGCCAAATAATAGCTAAATTACCTTCATTATGAACTCAGGAGGAATGCAATGTGTTAGGAGTTCATACAGCCGTCCACGAATCTCTAAAAGCCTGTTGGAAAGTCAACACAAAATCAGAGAAATGTCCACAAAGCAAACTAATGTGTTTCCTATATTAATTTAGTATGAGGAGAGGGAATGGGAAGAGTCAAACCAAACTAATTTTTCTGAATAAACCAAAAAGCATCACTCAAGTCATGTGAATTCCATTCACATTCTACATACCTTACCCTTTTGAATAATAATAATAATACTATAGTTATCAAGGTCTCAGTTAATATAGAAGCTACAGAGCTACTCTCCAGGTTGCCTCTCTAATTTCTCTTCATCTCTAAATTTTTACTCTTCATGCCCAAGAACTGTGAGAAGTTAGCACAAAAACGATTACAGCCAAGAAACTCACTTCAGTTGCTTTTCTGCCATCATTGTTTACAAGTGCAGGCAAGATGATTACATGATAGAAAATTATGTGATTATCAATTCTCAACTTTCGTAATAACGAGGCCATCAGAAGCTACAAGCTTTTAAATTAAATACAGCAAATGACTCCTCATATAATAGAAGGAGCAGGATGAAATAAACTAATAGAGAGGGTATCTCCCACTGTGGTAGGGGGGAAAAAAGTACATCTTGCTAAGCAAAACAGAACCAAAGAAACTACACAATGACAAAACCTGCAATATGTTCAACATTAGTGGCAGAGAAGCTGACAGTTCGTAATTAGAGCAAATCAGACCAGAAGGCATCCAGATTAAAGCACAGAATTGAAGACAAAAATGTTGGAAGAGACTTAGAAGAAACAGCTACTTATGTTTAAGGCACCCCATTGTTAATGAGATTTGTGTCAATTTAAACTTTCCTGCAATATGAGCTCATTTTTTTCTGGGTCTTCCCACCATGGATATGAAAGAAGTTATTGCATTTCCTGTCCAAGTCTTTCTGTTCTTCTCATTCTGTTGTCTTTAGGCTAAATCTCATTCTTTCCATATGGGTCATATTCTCTACAACTGATTTTTAGCGTTTCTTCCAGATTCTTAGTTTGCCTGAAATGTCTCAATGCAGTGCTCAAAATAGGATATAGCATTGCAGAGGAATCCTTGCTAATGCTGCATAAACAGCAGAGACTAATTCCACTGTCATACAGCCAGAATTTCTAATCTCGTAGAGAAGACAACTTTAGGGGATTACAGATTCATAACACTGACTCATGTTCATTTGTATTCAGCTAAAAACTCTAGTCTACTTTGTCAAATTCCTAATAATCGGTTCTTCAACATACATTCGATTCTTCGCATCTAAGTGGAACATCTATTTTTTCCAGGTTTTCTCCAACCTTAAGAAGTTTGTGAATTTCACTCCTCAACCTAATTGAAATCCTACCTCATTTTGCATCAAATAAATTAGAATAAAGAATATTCTCTAACCCATTACCCAAAACATTAATGAAAATAATCAGGCTGAGTTAGTGCAGGGCAAAGCCGTGAGGTGCCCCAGATGCATTTCTCTGCAATGACAACATGCTATTATAAATACTTTTCAAAATGCCTTCAAGCTTAATTTTTATCCCCAGTCCTCAAAAGCTGTTTCACATAAATCTCCTTCACTCGCTTATAAAAACACTGTACATCCTGACACAGGACAAACAGTAGTCCAGCTTTGAGGACATACTTTTCTGTGACATAACTGTATTACTGTGTGAAGTTCATCCAGCCCTTTCTGATAGCTTTAAAACTCAGTTCCTTTGACTGCAAAGTACCAACGCTAGCACAAATGTCAGAAAATTACAAGTAACTATATTTTAAAATGAGGCATCTTTCCTTTAATATTCCTAGGGCTCAAAAGAACTAAACGTAGCTTACAGACAGATATATCTACCAACCTCTGTGGCGTCTGTTGACTGACAATAGCATTTGCAGTTTCTCTCAAATAGACCTCCCAGTCCATCTCAGGAATATCTTGATCAGGAGTGAAAGGATACCTACATTAAAAACACACAAAGAAAAAAAATTGTCACCTCTTCTAGCAGTGACTCAGGAGCACATTCATTTATTTGGCTGACAGCCTGACTCGTATTAATTTTTAGTGATGACTTACTGCTGTACTCTGCAGGACTCGCACATAAGCAATGCTTTCCGAAGATTCCTGCCAGATTTCTCTGCAAGCCTCTGAGCCAGCTCCTGAGGCAGAGTCAGGCCTTCCTTCTTACATACACTGGACAGTACATGGCAGATCTAGATGGGAAACAGACAAACAACATTCATCAGACCATTTAGTACCTACAGATTTTTCCAGTTTAAAACATTTCTGGATCAGAGATAGACGAGCCTCTCACTAGAAGTGTTTGGCAAGTCAGCCAGCACAAAGGATAAAATAGATCACTTTCCTCAAGTGAAATAATTCCCAGATTCACAGCAGGAAGGTGTCTGGTAAAGTTTAAAATAACTTTGTTTCTTTCTCAACATACATCTTCTATGCTGGGAGCAGGCACGCGGATGGCCAGGCATCTGCTTTGAATAGGTGCAATAACTTTTGACATGGAATTGCAGCACAGGATCAGCCTGCAGGTGGCCATGTACTTTTCCATGGTTCTTCGCAAAGCATGCTGAGCATCTTTAGTAAGTTTGTCAACTTCTGTTAACAGCACCACTGAAAAACAGTTTAAAAAAAAAGCACTTAAAAATATGAAATCTCTCGAATAAAATGCATACTTTGATATATAAGAATACTAAAATGATTGATACATTAAGCAAGAGGCAGCATAATCCCACCAACAGGAAAACTGAGTAACATCACAGTGATCTGCGTTCCCTTTTCATTGTGTAATGGATTTGTTCCGTCACCTCCTATATGCATTTAGCAGAATAGCAATTTCTTGACGTTCTGCAGCCAGTTAACACTTCGGTGCCAAAAAATAATCCAGGTAGATTTAGAACATTTCACTCTGACAACTAGTACCGTCTTTCGCATGGATTTTAAATAAGAAAAACAAACGAATTTATGGGACAAGGACACATCAAGAATCACAATTTCTTGGAGACTGCCCTCAGTACATTTATATTTAGTAGCACATGTCTTAATTTAACAACAAGCAGGTGTAGAAAACTGCCTTGCTACGATGGCTGGGCATGGGAAGGGAGGGGGCTTTCTACAGTCTTTTAAAGGAATGGGAGGTGGAAAAGTATTTAGCTTCAGAACAGCCAGGAGACCCTAATGAGGCAGCTGGCCAGCTATCTTCTGCAGGCTCCTCCACAGGGAATTCAGAGGTGGCTCATGTACTGCAGAGCTGATTATGAACACTTTGGAGGAACAAATCAGCCCACTGCTCATCCCCCATTTCTCCTCTGGTTGTATTAGCAGCCAGAAAAGGCTAGCCAACTTGCCATGCACCTTCAAGTGTCTGATATGACTGCAGCTGCAGGAATATATATATGTTCATATTTGTAGAACCCAAACACAGTCCAGCCATTTAGATGAAACGTAGCATTTCCTGAAAACTGTGAGAGAAGAAAAAGTACTAAATCCAAGACTACCTTTAAATAATGTCTGCTCTATTCTTTCAAAATCTCTCTCTACATCAAGCTCCCGTAAAGTAGCTCTAGTTTTGCTTTCATTTTAGCCATGGGAAAAAAGCAGTTGTAACAACATATATCTTGGAAAACCTGAAGAAATCTGCCTTCATTTTCTTAGCCAGTTTCCCTTTATGTGTTATAAATAAAATACTTCTAAACTTTCTGATGAAAGTCACCATCCTTAAAATCCCTGCAACAGGCAACTAACACCTGCTTACCCAGAACCATTCACCATAAGCCTATCTTGCCCCTCAAATCAATATTAAAGCTCAATATCTCACAAATAAAATACTCCTCTAGCTCCGTAAGCCAAGTTATAGCGCATTTCAGAGGTAGGGTTGAAAAGAGAGAGCAGGATTCTAAGCTCCCCATTCCCAGACATAATCATTCAACTACAGCCAGTTTCCCTAAGAAAGCAATCTCAGAGACCTCTATTGGTACTTAACCACTCAAAATACTTCCAGAGCAGCTGCAGACCACTGCGAGGAGTATGTGAAATTTAGTTTGGGAAAGGTTTGTATGTGCCTACAAATATGACTTTTACACACACAGACAACAGCAAAGAAACATCTGGAATCACTAAAATGCACCAGGATTTTTCTTCTTCTCCGGTATTTTGACTGACTAACTGGTTTTACTCACCTTTAAAGTCTCTTTGGGTACTTGTCTCAAGCTGTTGGGATTGTGCTACTGTCTTCAAGAGCTCCTGGATTACTACACGATCATTGTTTCCTGCATCACTGTACAATGAGTTCAAGCAAAATTTGTTTTAAAGCAACTTTACATTGTATAAAAAAATGCATCCTCCTAAACAGTTCTTAATCAGTTTACTTTCATACTGTCAAAAACAGCAGCAAGACTCTCTAAACTCTCATATTTTATGCAGGCACAACAAGGATTAACAGCCCTGTGTTGGGAAGTAATGAAACCACCACCACAGTAAACTGCTTTATTAACTCTTTAGATAGTTTTTTTGGTATAAATCGTCAGATCATTCAAAATGTGTTACTCGCAATTTTGGCAAAGATTCTTACCAGGAACATTTCTGCCAGAGACTTAATAGATCCTGCTGGAATGCCAGTAATCAAACAGTAGGATGTCCAACTCATTAAAAAAGGAGAGAAGTAAATGCGGAGAGTTTCTCACTTCACTCCCCACTCCCCTCCTTTATCTAGGTATTTTACCATGAACCATCTGTGGGCTTAATGTAAACTTGAATGGCAGACACAAAGCTAGCAAATTTTAACAGTACAAGACTGATGCCAAGATGCTATTACAACACACATGACTGGCTTGTTTCTTCTAGGAGGCTAAAACTGATTGAATAATATTCAGTCTTATTCCTTCCTCTACTCCTTACACTCCCTCATTAAAAAAAAAAAAAAGACCTCCCTCAGCCGTCGTTGTTGTTTCTTACCCTTTTGCTACCCACTTATTCAAGAGAACCCATTTTAAAGTATTTACCCAGACAAGTCAAGTCACCAGCAAGCAGTGTCCCACAATTCAGAAGAACAACTTGGAGGAAATAGATTAGTTTTATCTAATAAGAATTTCGTAATAAATTTAATGTCTGCTGCGTCCTACCCCTTCCCAGAAGGGGTAATTTCCTTTCCCTGTCAGCCATTTACCAAGCTCCAGGTTACTCGAGATAACCCTGTGTGATTTCACAGTACTCTAATTCAATCAGAATTTGCAGACCACATTGATAAACATTACACAGACATAGTGTAATAGCACAGACAAGTTCACTGTCTGGTCAGACACACATGAAAACCGGTGGATCACTTAAAGCCTGTGAATTAACATATTAATCCTTAATAGGAACTCAGCACAATACTTGTTACAGTAAAGCAGCAATTTATACTTTTAGGTTTGGGGTTTTTTTTTTGGTATTTGAAGATATAATTGTTTTTATATCTTTCAAGCCATGAGTATTAAAAGACAAGGTCATGAGAGTAGAAAAATGAATTGTCAGATAATGTATATGACCAAAATTGTATTTTTGAAGGACACAAAAAAGGACAGCCCTCAGCTTTATTTGTTTAGGGCCATATTAGAATACCAATAGATATGCACTAATTAGTATAGACATCAACTTTTTGAAGGCTACATGGTGTATGAGAACAGTAGCTAAAACGCACAGAATAACATGATAAAAAGTGTTAGCAATAAGCTAACCTTGGGATATAGATTACTGTCTTGTAAATGCAACTCAGGACAACAACAAAATTGTATTTTTGAAGGACACAAAAGGACAGCCCTCAGTCAACATAATCAAAGCCTGCCACTGCAGAATGACAGACACTCTCCTGTGATTTAAAGTAGTGTTAAAGGGTTTCAGGTAAATAGTTCTATCCAAAGTATATACAAGTATCACCACCAATTTCACAACTGTCAGGCTATAATAGCGCAATGAATGTCCCCCAACAGGGAAGGGCTTATGTGCTCAAGACTCTTTCTATCTTAAAAGAGTCACTGGATAAACATTGCTTATTCCCAAGTCATTTTATTTTCTTATTTTTTAGAGAATAAATGATTTGGGGTTCTTGGATCGAATAAAACTCTTCAATTTCACCTTAAATGGCTAAATTTAAGAATTCAGAATAGTTCTGATACACAGTCCTCTCCATCTTCATAGTTACAGCATTAAACAGATCATTACTGTATTTAGTATATAGGAATCCAATTTTCATTCACTTAGAGTTGTTCCATTAAAAATCCTCTCCCTGCCCTAATTTGCAGCCCAATCTTGCAAACCTGTCTTGCTCGAGCAAGAGTGTGTGCAATCAGTCCTCATAAACCTGAATTGAAATCACTTAAAATATAACCAGTGGCATCAAGTCAAATTGGGATATTTTTATTATATACTTACCTTGGGTTTACTTCAAGGTGGTAGTTACTTGCAATGGTGCTAATTTCAATTTTCTTTTTGGAAGGTGCCTACGTAGAAAGTAAGCATGAAGGATTTCAGAAAGGTCAGATCAGATACCAGATCAGAGACAAAAATTAATCTTCAGGATGAAAACTGTCTAACGTGTCAGCAGTTTCACAAAGCAGACAACCACTGTGATACCAAGACAAGAAATACTGATGCGTCATCCAGCATCAGAATAACAATAACTAGAATAACAATAGGAAATACTATGATATTAGAAATACATATTTGTAATTGCTCTGTACTCCAGTCATCAATACTGAGTTTTGTAGCAAGTAATTGCATTTTTGAATCAGTCACTCAAAAACAGGGATCTTTCCAAAGAAAACGTCTTAGTGGAAAAATCTGCAGAGAAGTTGTCTTTTCCAATAACATACTTCCCCTTGCAACCCTAAGGAGGCTGTTTACTTCTCTTGGCAAAGGAATACAAATCTGTATTTGGTTAAAGGAAAACAAAAACATTCATGCTACCTCTGAGTCTGAACAGAATCTTGGTCATTAAGCCCTCCACAACACTGATTTGGAACGGAAAATATCCCCCTTTTAACAACAAATTCCAGCCTGTCTTGATCTTAGCCATTTAGTCAAGCTACTTTTTTTTCCCCTAATTCTGAAATTGACACTATGAGAATGAATAAACAAGTTAAAAACTTGCATATAAGAAAAATATCACTAGTCATTTAAAAAATATGGATTACCTTCACAGCCAAATTTTACTAATTGAGAGCTAGCCTATTATGCATTCTGTTGCCCAAACCAGACAACAGAACTGCACACACTTAAGGAACTAGAATACCTGGCGAAAGTACTTGTTTAGGTAGTCAGACTAGTCTGATTGATTAAATATGTGAGCTCAAAGATACTGAACATGAAAAGCTCTGTATTAGTGTTAAACAAAAAAATGCCCCACAACAGAAATACTTTAGCATATAAATATCAGAATTGTTTTTAAGGGGGGTGTGTGTGGGTGGGTGTCTTCGGGGCGAGGCTGGGTTTACCGTTATACTCTGATGTTCAATCCTCAGCTTTTCCACACCTGCACCATATAACTCCCTTAGCAAACACATTATTCTAGTCTTCTTTCCAGCTCCTGACGGTCCATACACCAGGAGATGAGGGAAGTCCCCGCACTGAACCTGAACACAGAACAACAAGCTTCGTCAGCTAGGACAGTATTGCCTTTATGCACATACAAGGATACTATGTACTGAACATACAGTATTTGTCACCGGCTCAGCACCTGCCTTCCCTTCCTTTCCCACCTAAGTTTATATGAAGACAACCCCAAACCAAGCACATAAAACAGCTTCCACAGGGACAGCTGCAACAAACACACAAGAAAAGAAGGGGTCACCGGCCGCGTGTATTCAAACCAAACCGCGCGGGAAGGCTACAGGAGGGAGGGACTAGGCCGCAGCAGCGACCCGGGGGTGCGGGCGGCAGCGGGGAGCCGGGGCGGCCCGGGGCTCGGCCCCTCACCAGGTTGCGGAGCTGCGCCGCCTGCTCGCGGTGGTAGTCGAGGCGCCCGAGGGCGCTGGGCCGGTGCTTGTCCGCCCAGAGGCTCATGGCGCTT